TTCATCATTAGTTTTAATAATAAAAATAACTAAATATAGTTACTAAAAAACTAAATATAATTATTTTAGTTACTAACAATAACTATGTTTTGTAAGCATACAGGTGTATATGTCTCTAATTATTACCTGAGCCATTCCAAAAGGAAAAGTTAAGAGTTTTCACATATTGCAATGCCTCCCTACAGGATGGGAGACTATCCATCCATCCCACCTTACCTTCACCAACATCTTATATTAGTATTCATTAAGAAAGTAAAAAGTATGCTTTGTTTTATCAAAGAGAGTTATTTAATGAGGCAAAAGCTGAGAATTCAATCTAAAGTTTCAGCTAAGAAAAATATGAGGTCAGTTCTTTACTTAAAATTACACATAGTCTGAATTAGTTGAAATATTCTTTGCACTGATGAGCATCTACTTTATAAACTATAAGTGTGATAAGATATTGAAAAAAATTCTTTAATTTTAAAATACAACCTGCATCTCCACTGCATTATAAGATATGTTGCAAAACATTGTCAAAATAACTCACTACATTGAGCTTAGTTTGACTAGTTTTTAAATTCTTCCTTTTCTCTCTGGATGCTTCAGCATATCCTTTATGTATTCATTAAGAACAGAAGTTTTGTTCTCAGGACTGGGGAGATAACTCAGGAAAGTCTCCAGAACCCACATACAGAAGCCAAGTACACTTTCATGTCATTGTAATTCCAGCACTGAGGAGGAGGAGACAGCTGTATCCTTGGAGCTTACTGACCAGCCAGGCTTGACTACTCAGCAAGCTCCAGGCCAGTGAGAGACCCTGTCTCAAACTACAGGGGAGACAGGTAGGGTGGTGCATGCCTTTAATCCCAGCAGAGGTAGGTGGATCCCTGAGAGTTTAAGGCTAGCCTGGTCTACATAGCAAGTTTCAGATCAGTCAGGGCTACATAGTGGGACTCTGTCTTAAAATAAGGGGGCAGTGGGAACAGCACCTGAGGAACAACAAATGAGGTTGACCTCTGGACTACACGTGCACATACACACTTAGACACATGTACCTGCACACGCACATTCACATCCATATGAATACACACACAGACACACACACACACATTTTATTCACAAGTAAATGACCAGTGACCAGGTTCACTATTTCAGTTCAGGCCACACATTTGATGAAAAGTTAAAAACCATAGCTGAAGTAATAAACTAAATGATGTCACCTTCATTAAAAAAAAAATAGATCAGTGGAGAGCTTCCATAGATCACATAAATCCCCAAATGACAGAGCTGGCAAACACTTGGAAATCCAATGCTGTCATTGAGAATAGAGATTGGTACAGGCACATTGCAGGGTCACCCAGCTGGACAGTGACCTTTCACCCTGGGTGCTTGGCTCTGTGGCCACCTACTTCTCAAACCACAGTCCTCAGCTCCAGTCACTTGAGTACTGATGAATTCAATGCGATCTCCTCGCCTTCATATCTTCTAAGAAATGTGTGCGAAAATAAAATTCCAACTGGTTCTTTGATTATCCTTTCTAACTCCTACATCGTTCAATTTATAGTAAGAACTGACAAATTGTAAGCCACATAAATCAATTCCCTTTCAGGAATCAAGAATCAGCACAATCATCTTGTAACAGAAGCTGCATGTTGTCTCAGATTCCAAATAAACTAAACTTTGCCTTTAGCAGGCTGGTTCCATAAATACCTATGGAAGAAATATGACTGCACAGATCCGCACCATTATTTACGTATTATTTTGCTTATTTTTCTTATCAGGTATCTGTATGCTCTTGGGCAGAAGGTTTGGAAAAGATGGAAAAAGCGATACTTCGTTCTCGTTCAGGTCAGTCACTTTCCCCTGTTCTAGAATCTAGACTCTCAGATGGTTATTTGTTTGGGTTAGATCTCTTTTGAATATTTCCTTTATTAGAAATTAAAATGGATTTTTTAAAAGACATTCATATAAAAATAAAGTAGCAAATCCATGATAAGCCATTACAAATAATATTTTCTTGTCAAAAATACAAACTAAGCAATTTAGTGAAATGAGTGACACTGCTCTGTGATTTGGTTTACGTCATTGTTTTCTGGCACAATAGAATGCAGCTGTTTTAGCAGCTTCTGTGCTCAACTAGTTGTCGTATCAAATTCAACAGTCACCGGAAAGTGCCACTGCACACTCAGTATGAAAAAGGCACAAACGATTTAATGTTGTTATGAAAATTATTTTGATGATCAAGGTTCCCTAAATGGAGCTGTAGGAATCTAAGACCATTCCTTGAAAAAACTGCATTATCCAGATAGTATACAGATATACTGCAATCCATTCACACTTTATATGAATATATGTATTATATATTCACATAAATATGCTTTTAAGTCAAATTGTCTACAATATTTGTTAGTGATTGGATTCAGAATATAGATAATTGGAATATGTGGTTGACTGACTTTTTAAAATCATGTGTAACCTTTATTCATAGAACATAATCATAAAGTTAAGTTTATATTAAAGTAAAGCTTTTAAAAATAGTCATTTCATTCCATGATAAATTCAAGCCATTTCAATCTCAGTGGAAATATATGAATTACATGAAATATATGAAAGGAGAATCGCTCTTGGAATTCTTAACACAGAACAGCCTGTGAAATCTCATTGATTCCTACCGCACATTAAACAAGCTTAACTGGGCTAGATCAGAATAACATGAGGAAATGCCAACAGAGGAAAATTATCATTTGCTATCTTCGGAGGTACAGTCATCCATCAGTTTCTGGGTAAAATTAGTTTATTGATGTCCCATGGTAGCATGGTATCTTTATGAAAAGTGTAAAAATTCAGTCGAAAGTAGTTTTATCTACATGGCAGAGAGCCTATCTATTTTATTCTTGGCTAAAATGTAACATTTACTTGTGTGACTTAGAGTAATCATAAAAGATATGCATTCATACATGTACATAGATTTATACAGCACACACGCACAGAGAGAGAGACAGAGAGAGAGAGACTTTTTATATAGAGTTCATGCACTTGCTTTCAATAAGTGTTCTGCTCAAGCTTTTGTGATCTGTCCTCACCAGACATACCTGTTAAATGTTTTCTGCAGTTTCAACTTGTACCTTTCCATTAGCATAAAAATTTAAATACATTTACAAAGAAATCAGAATATAAATCCTTCTGGGTATTTCAATTTTATTCCTATCAAAGATGTCTCACCTGCATCTAATTTGACAGGTTTATCATCCTGATTTTTCTTTGTCAAGTCTTTCAAAGCCTTCAACTGACTTTTCTGTAAACCAAGGACTTTTTCAGTTATTCATGAAATCTTACATGAAATCTCATTTAATTCCATAATTTTAGTGGATGATGTTTGGGATAAAAAACTTTTGGAACAAATAAAGCTGACTCTTATAGTGTAACTAATGGCAATATGTGTGACAGAATGTGAAACTGTAACCAAGCAACCACCATGTTCAACAGGTCACCTGCATCAGTCACTGTGCTTAAAGGATGAACGTTGAAAGCATTTATTAGTCTAGAAACCTGGAAAATGACAATAGACTAAAAGAGTTTCCAATGCACTGATTTTTTTTCAGTATGAAACATCAGCTTCTGTAGACTGGTTTTGAGATGTTAAATGCTAATCGTATGCTTTGACCCAGATAAGGCTTAATAAGGTCATCTTTTGCTACCTGTCTTATTTTCTAACAATGGTCACAAGAATCAATAGTTTTAACATAAACATGTGTACTTTGATTATCACTTCTTAGAGCATTTATAAATCAAATAAGGAACTAGAATATATCAAATTCGTGGAGTGGTATGTTTTTGAGGGAGATTAAATGTGGAGATAAGTTTTCCACATAAACTGTATCTTTTACATTTTAAAAGGGAAAATTCACTTTTTGTGATATATCATATGTATGTAGATGCAAACGTGCACACATAGAATCCCATGCCTAAATGTGTTCAGATATATATGCCCATACTCTGACAACTTTTTAAGTTTCAGTCACAATTGAATCTTCCTTTCAATTCCAAATGTAATGGGAAGACAAATTGAATGCACTCAGTTCAAAATCAAGATGAATATGTATGGAGATTCATTGAGAATGACCCATTGGGAGAAACTGGGTAGTTTCTATTAGTATTGTTAAAGACATCTCCCATTCTATCTGCACACAGCTTGTAGGTCCATACCTGCAGGCTGCATTATTGGAAGGTGAAGGAGTCATTTTTCGTAGGGAGGACAGTATGCCCTGCTGTGTCTGCTGCTGCCATCGGCAGAATGGTGCTCTGGTGATAATGTGAATCTCATCACCACGTGTGAGTGTGGATTATGTGAGTGATATAGCTGGAGACCCAGCCATCAGCCCAAGAATTTGTACTCATAAAAATTGATTGGGAGTCAGGTTTTGCCAGCTGCAAAGTCATTGTTCAAAGTGAACACTCGAGGAGCCACTGAGGTGAAAAGACTTTTCAAAGACTCTCATATAAACATGAAAATCGGAGGCAAAAATGTCGATTTAAATTAGAGTCAAAAATCAGAAAGTAAATTATCTCTTAATGTTGAGTATTTGTTTAGCTCCCTAGTAAGTTCGCATTGCCTTTTAGATTCTGACCCAAAGTATTTACAGTAATAAATGAAGTTTAATGTTGTCTAAGAGATTGCATTTTACTATGAAGGTAAATTTGGGTTCAAGCTAAATTAAAAGAGCAATAATCTTGAAAAAATATTATTGAAATCTTGCCAAAATTAAACTTTCTTACTCGTTTTTTTTGTGCTTGCCAAAGGTTTTAGATTAGATTTAGGAAGGCATGATTGGTGTAAAATACTTTTGATATTAATTATATTGTAGTTGGTATTATAATAAGACCATTCAATAGCATTAAGACTATATTTATTTAACTAAGTGGATCATTTTTCTTATATTTTTCTAGCAGCTATTCAAATACCAGATAATAGTATATTCTATGATATTTTCAAAAGTTCCTGAGGCACTTATATATTAACACATCATTGCTGTGTTAAATATGTTACTTAATAAATGATTATTCTGTGGCATTTGCATAAGCACTTTTAATACATGATCTTATTTACAGGATAAGCCTTTAAGAATAGATCTTATTATTGCCTCCAATGAACAGATAATTATACAAAGAGTGTATGTTATATTCTCAAGATTCGCTGAGTGTGAGGTAGAATCAAGTAAATTCTCGTCTGTTAGACAGTAGAGACAAAGCTCATATTTCCTGTTCCATATAGTTATGATTAAATTAATGCACACAGTTCATTTAAGACAAAAAGATATGTGGAAAATTACTGTGCATCATGAGTGTCATAAGGTCCAAAGCAGTGCCATCACATTAAAGAAATGGCCAGGGAGTGATGGCACGAAGAGCCCTAGGTTCAGGAAGGCAGCTGACTGCATGACATCCATGGAAACTGAAGTAGGCATCTATGTTGCGTTGGCCCTGTATCAAGTGCTCACTGTTTGTTGTTGATGTGTCAGAATCATGACTTGAAGTTACTGCAAACAACAGCAGGCTATCGAGACATAATGTTAATTACTATCAGCTAAGTTGGCACAGGATGTAAGCAGGCAACCATGCCACTGAGTGTCTGAACATGCTCAAACAAATGAAAAGCCCTGTTTCTCAGGAAGATGCCATCAATCTACGCTTTGAACATGTAGAAGTGGCTTCCCATACCTGTTGATTTCTGAAGGACCAGCATAAAAGGGGACCCACTGAAGCAGACTCCTTACACATATTCAAGATGGCACTAGTACATATAGAACTTGAAGTTAGTTACATTGTATGGATTTCATCCAGGATCTCAGCTGTTTGCTTACATAATAAGTAACTTGGAGGTAAATAAAGGCATAGCTGTAACAACAAGAAAAATCATAGACTGGTAGCTGTGTAGCTGAGACTTTTAAGTGGCCATACTATAAAACCAACTCTTACAGTTTTTGTGGTAGAAAATGAAGGATCCCGCCAGTATTCCTATGCATCATCTACTCCATTCTACTCAAGAATAGCTAATAGGATGGCCTAGACTCACACAGACACACACACATCCATCCCTGATGGAATCTTGCCAATATTTTCTTTCTGCAATTTATTTTGTTCTCCTTTAAAAAACAGAAAAATTGCCTCATCAACAGATAAAAATCTGCTCTATTATTTTAAGTGTTTAGAGCTATAAAATAGGTTATAATAATTTATACATTAATTTATCTTTTTAGATATTTTTTATCAACAAAAATGCTAAAATAAAAATAGGTGTAATCTTCATTTGTAATTATTTGTTTGTGTAAACATTCCTATAAAATGGAATTTCTGGATCAAAGGCCCCAAATACTTATATTATTAAATAAGATTATAACTTTTTAGACAACTAATGGATTTTTAAATACTCTCCCAAATGTTAGAGGGCTATTTTATGAAATAACTATTTTGTGAAATTTCCCTTATTTTTTTTTACATTTTAAATTACACAAATGTTTCATACAGAACACCCCAAACAATCTTATTCATCTTTATACTCACATCCCAAATAGCACCCTCCCTTACCCTGCCCTCACTGGAGCACATTTACTCTGAGTGGAGTTTATTTGGAACCAAGTATCAGAGGAAAATAATATTTTGTTTTACATTTTATAATTATAGTAACTGCCACTGTGTAATAATCAGGACTTTTCACTGAAAATCTAAAAAGACAATGACGATGGCCATAAACATTTGTGTAATTTGGACTCAGATGCTAACGGTACATTTAATCCTGAAAATTGCTCTAAAATATCCTAAAGTGAGTATTTACTATATTTCAAAAGCAA